AGGAAATATCCCTGATCCTATTTTTTCTAGTGTCTAATGAATCCTTTTCTGCTGTAAACCCTGATCCTATTTTTTCTATTATCATTCTGGAATGAATTCTTTTCTTGATAGTAAGGATCTTTTGGCTCAAATGGTTGAAACAAGATTGTTCCTGATTCTATTTTTTCTATTATCTGTAATGGATGAATAGAGTTTTTTTTGAAATTCGAAAAATCGAGTTTTATTGGAAAATAAAAAAATAGTTTTTCTGGAAATACGAAAAAATCGATTTTTTTAGAAAATCGAAAAATCGAGTTTTTTTAAGAAAATCGAAAAAATTGAGTTTTTTTTCGAAAAATTGAAAATCGAGTTTTTTTTCGGGAAATTGAAAAATCAAGTTTTTTCGGAAAATTGAAAAATCAAATTTTTTTTGAAAATGCGAAAAGTCGAGTTTTTTTTTCTTCAGAAAATCGAAATATCGAGTTTTTTCAGAAAATCGAAAAGTCGATTTTTTTCCAGATAATCGAAAAAATCGAATTTTTTCGAAAAATTAAAAGATTGAGTTTTTTCAAAAACATAAAAAATTGAGTTTATTCAAAAATACAAAAAAATTTTAAAATAAAATAAATAAATATATTTAAATTAATGTTTTTAGATATCCATCGATTAATATGTTGTTAATGGATGGATTGGATGAATTTTATTATTAATTGATGAATTGAATTTGATATTTTTAAAGAAATTTTAGTGGATTGTTAATGAATTAATGGATTGTTTTGATCCATCAATTAATAATCTAATTGATATCCATCTAATCCATCCATTTTGCCACCCCTACATACGTCGTTAGGGGTGACAAACGAGTATGTCTGCCCCGCAAAATCTCTAAAAAAAAAAGGAACAGAACGCGGAGGACATTGTTGAGGGTGCGGGTCTAGAATATTAGACCACCGTGCAAAAAAATAAATGTGGGACGGATCCATAGATATTGCAACTTTTTAGCTTAAAAATGACAAAAATTTATGTTAGTATCGACGTCCAAAAAAAAAACAGAGAGGGACTCCGCAGACATATTAAAGAGTACAAACCTAAAATCTTGATTTATCCCGCAAAAAAATACGGACAAAACGGACAAAACGGACATGTCTGACGGGTCAGACCCGTTTTTCTACTTCTAATGCCGTGGCACGTGGCTTAGTGGGATTTTCTAGGAATTTAAGCTTTAAAACACGACAAGGAAATGTCTCTGATCCTATTTTTTCTATTATGTGTAATGAATTGTATGAATTGTTTTCTGCTGTGAATTGAAATGAGTTTTCCTGTCCAAACTGAAAATGAGACACTGAAATTCTGCTTCGGTTAGAATCAATTCTACCCAACCCAAAATTAGTTTTACTGAGACAGTACAGAAACCAAACACCCCAAGTTATCATATCAGTTGAAATTTGAAGACAAACTGTTAGTTACAAACAACTTTTTTAACATGCTAGTAGCAGTTTAACAGTGCTAAACATCAAAACAACAAATAAACTAATATAATCACACGTGAAATTGTTTATTATTTTACTTTGTACAAAATAATGCTGCCAATTTCACCACTTCACATATGATACTGATACTTTTGTTTCTATTTGATAAATGACCACAATCTTCTCTAAAGAAGTTGCAACACAAAAGCTAATCTTTTCAATGGATTTTCAATAATATATCCATATAGCTTGAAGTGGAAGTAACAGTCCATACTTGATCTACCCTTGTTTATGCCACTTATCAGTCATTCATTGGCCAAGTTAGTTTTTCTTCTGTCTTGTTATGAAACCGTGTTCCAACTCCTAACTCCTTCTACTTTAAATATACTTTTTCTTGGTCAAGAACCTAAAGTTAAAAATGACATTATTTTGAATTTGAAAGAAGGTACAAAATAATAAACACAAAACCTTGTCTTTTTCCCTATCATTGATTTCTTTCTACATGAATTTCATGTAATGGAGAATCAACTTATTTTAATGAGTGGGGGAATATCATGGTTGCCACATGATTTCATCGGTGAGATTTTACTCTCCACACAATCCAAAGGCCAAGTTTTATTTGTATGTTTTTATGCAAAAACACAACCACTATCGTCATGGGTATTTTCAGCTTCACAAAAAGAAGGTTGCATATGTAATAATATTATGTTGGTTGCCGTTACATCTAGTGCTTTTTAAAGATGAGTTATCTCTTATCCTCCAATCTCTGATACGGATTTCCAATTAAAGTACACAGGGTTCTCACGAACACAATAAGTCTATGAAACCATTATTTCGGAATAACGTTAGTATGAGATAGTTTGAGTGTCTTTTATTTTAACCGAAGGTCATGAGTCTGAATTGAGTTAAAGTTTTTGAGAGAGAGATTTATTTGACTATTATAATTTGTTTTGTTAAGGGAACAAAAATGTTTGGTGAAATGATGGAGTAGAGTCTTGATACAGTGGAGTAGATCTTCAATGAGACGGTGTGGAATAAACTTGCAAGGTTAACACTCCAACTATCAAATCAATAAGAGAATGAAGAGTAAAGTAAGTTATGTCTTAGAGAGAATATCTCAAGTCTCATGCAAGATGCCTTATACATGAATGACAATCTTCTTTGCCTTATACATGAATGACAGTTATAAACGTTCTTTGTCATTTCGGCGTGGAGTGTGGGAGGATTCTCCGATGATATCTAACAGTATGCCTCTGACGTGGATCTAGTGTGGAGCTTCAGAACATGATTATTCATTCATGTGCCTTCAGTACATTGGTAGAGTGACTTGAACTGATGATTGAGACTCCTCATTTAGGGCCAGTGGTCGGCCATAACATAATAGCACTGCTGGCCCTGAACATAATTTTACTTGATTTAAGAAATTAGTCTGCATGGATCCAGTGTGGAGTTTCAGAGCAACGTTATTCATTCCTGTGCCTTCAGTACTTTGGTAGGGTAACTTGGACTGATGATTGAGACTCCTCATTTAGATTCAGTGGTCCGCTAGAACATAATACTATTGCCGACCCAGAACACAATTCTACTTAACTCGAGAAATTAGTCTCTGCAGTTGTATTACGTATGGAGAATATCTGGTTTAGAATGAAAAATACCTTACTAGAGTCTTGACACAGTGGAGTAGATCTTTAATGCGACAGTGTGAGGGTAGACTTGTAAGGTTAGCACTTCAACGTTCAAATCAGTAATAGAATGAAGAGTAAAGTAAGTTATGGATTAGATAAAGTATGTCTTATGCGGGATGCCTTATATATGAATGACAGTTATAGACGTTCTCTGTCATTTCGGCATGAAGTGTGGAAGGGTTGTTCGATGATATCTAACAGTATTGCCTCTGGCGTGGATCTAGTGTGGAGCTTTAGAGCAGGATTATCCATTCCCGTGCCTTCAGTATTTTGGTAGAGTGACTTGGACTGATGATTGAGACTCCTCATTTAGGGTCAGTGGTCGGCCAGAATGTAATACTACTACCGACTCAAAATATAATTCTACTTGACTTGAGAAATTAGTCTCTGTATGAATCCAGTGTGGAGCTTCAGAGCAGGGTTATCCATTCATGTGCCTTCAGTACTTTGGACTACTGATTGAGACCCCTCATTTAGGATTAGTGGTCATCCAAAACATAATAGAGTTGTCAAAATGGGTTAGTCCATATGGGCCGGCCCGTCAGGCCTGGGAAATCATAGGACTCAGACCTTAAAATTTGAGTCCATATTTTCAGGTTTTTTAGCCCAACCCTGAAAAGTTCTCTACCCATTAAGACTAGCCCATATGGACAGTGGATACCCGTTAGACCCACATAACTATAAAATTTTAAAAAAAGTTATATTAATATTTTTATATTGCCTTATTAAAAAAGAACACGTTGATTTTTCTCACCTCACTAAATTTTATCTCTATTCTATTCAATCTTTCTCTTTTAAATATTATACATTAATATAATTGATTCTCTTTTACCGTATTCTATTAGTTTTTCTCTTATGTTAAATATCTGGATATCATTGTACAATTTAGACATATATTATATTTAAAAACATATTATAGTATTTATAAAAGATAATATAATACTTAAAAATGTATTATGTTTAAAATAATATATTTTTTAATTTTATTTATAATAAATATTATGGAATTTTTATTTTAATTTTTTAAATAAAAAGTCTGTTTAGAGTCGGATAGTCAGAAGTTCATCTAAGGCCAAATTCGGGTAGTAATTTTCGAACCCATATTATAACATGGTTTTTTTGATCCAATCTTAAAAGTCTAAGTCTACCAGGACCAATTTATTTAAGGCCGAATAGTCCATTTTAACAGCTCTACATAATACTATTATCCGTCCAGAATATAATTCTACTTGAATTGAGAAATTAATCTATACATTTATGTTTCGCAGGGTGGGAGAATACGTGGTTTAGAATCAAAAGTACCTTATTAGGGGTTACTTTAATTACTTATGAAGTGGTGTCTCCATTTTCATCTTATTTCATGATGTAACTCAAAGCTTAGGTTCTCTTTTCTGTTTGTGGAAATACATGCACCATGCACTACTCAGTAAAATGTGTGGACTAATCACATCATATATAAAGTAACTTTTATCCAAAAAAAATAAAATTGGTGTATATAATTCGTGCAAGCCTCATGTTCCTAATGCTTTTCATATATGAACAAACCAAGTTAAATAATTGTTCAATTCTGAAGTTAAAAAAATTAGAAGTTCTCATGGGATTGTTTATAGCACACTTTGTGCAAGGGTTAGCTCTCACATTTCTTGGCCTATGGCACATATTCAACACAATCAAATCTTACCTTGTGAAAGGTCCTTCAAATTTCACTGTAAGGTTTTGGTTCCAAATTAACACCTTTCAATTCAAATTCAAACACTTGGAACTTGTTTTAATTTTAATCTTTTCTGTTCTAGCATTTCTAAGGCAAGTCATAGATTTCCCTTATTTTCACTATGCTTTTAAGCTTGATAACTTTGAACATGCAACTATGTTCATACACCTTGCTTTGTTTGCTGGCTTTTCGCTCGCTGCCGAGTTAACAGATTCGCTCGAACTCTTTTCTGGATTTGTCGGGATTCTTGTATCCTCAGTTTTCAGTCAAGAGCTTTTCTTACTTCATTTTCACTCCGCTGATCATGTTGGACTTGAAGGTCATTATCACTGGCTCTTACAGCTTATAGTTTTTGTTTCGCTTGTTGCAGCTCTGGCTGCAACTGTTTTTCCCAACAGTTTCAACGCTGCGATTGTACTTTCGATTTCGGTTATTTTTCAAGGATGTTGGTTTATAAACATGGGATTTATGCTTTGGATTCCTGCATTTGTTCCTGAAGGATGTGTGATGAATATGGCTAGTAAGAGTGGCAATGAAATGCATGGAGCTGTCACCTGTGAAACGAAAGAGGCGGATTTTCGGGCTAGAGGACTAGCCAATTTGCAGTTCAGTTGGATACTTTCTGCTATTATGATATTTGCAGGAGTTGTATGCTTGAAATTGGCTAGAAAATTTACCATTGTGAACCGGCTGGAGTACGAGAGAATTCAAAGTAAAGTTGTAGATTCTACTGTGGTTAACGAAGGTTTCAAGCCGGGAAAGTAAATTCTCGGACGCAGTGTGTGTGAATGTTGTAAACTTCGAGTATCGAGTTCGATTCCTACTCATAAAAAAAAAACTGTCCATGTGTTTGGACTTTTTAAGGTCTTGAAGGTATGTAAGAGACTCATTATGTGAAACTTAATAAGATGTACTATAGTGTGTTTTATGTTAGTTCATGTTTATATAGATTTGGTGTCTAGTAATCTTAAAGTACACTTGAGCTTTAAAATAACCAAAATTGAGGAGCTGAACTTCTTAATATATATACAGTTTGTTTATAATAGGGAGGGGCTCCATGTATAGATTTCATATAGTGAAGGAATTCTTGAACCACAACATTGTTATGTTATCTAGACGTCGAAAGTTAGGGAAACACTTATTTTGATTACTACTAACAAGAAATTCAATAGCTATGTCATATTAGATGTGAGTTAGTTATATTCCTGTGTTAGTTAGTCAAACTGTAATATCCGAAACTTTCCTAAGCATGATATAATCTATTAAGTAGTAGATTTAGCAAAGAGTGGAAGAGATTAGGAGCATTAATCTAAAACCCTAGTAGATTTGGCTAAGTACCAAGGGCCTTTTACTTGGACAATTTAGTAAAAGGCAAGGCATGTATATAAGACAAATGGGTGAGAGAGTGTTCATTTTTCCACTTCATTTCTCACTCTAAGATCAGAATTAGAAAGAAAGAGAGGATGGCGAAATTGGAGAGAAGAAGGGAGGAGGTTTGATTTTGTTGTTAAAGCACCTTGCATGTTCATTGTTCCCTTGAAATCTTTCAAGTGGAAGGAAGCTTAAGAGAATTAAGAGCAGCATCATCATCATCCTCTCCTCATCATCAAAGTCCAAGTTTAGCATTAAGGTGGGGGTTCTATTAAGTTACTGATTGAGTTTAGAACTCCTAGAATCATTGTATGTTGGGTTGGGGATTGCATAGCATTAGAATATGTCTGTTGCTTTAGATTTCTCATGTGTTGTTCTTGATCTTGAGTACCTACATATCATAATTAATGCATGCTAGGCTAAATTTAGTTTTGAAGAGAATGAAGATATTGAAGATATTGCGTGAAGAGAATGAAGATATTGCTTGCTATGCTGTATATCATGTAGATTGAATTAAATGATCATCGACAATACGTGAAGTGTTAAACATGCTCTTGTTGGTTGGTTTTCTATGTATTCTTCTTTGTGAACGATCATGTCGATTGAGTGCTGGAATAGAATATGATTTTAATGCAGGGCCAAAAGTCACAAAGTATGAAAATGTCAACGACTGAAAACTCTATTTTATGGGTTATGCTCTGTAGATAATTCGTGAGAGTATAAGAATAAATAAGAATAATACAATTAATATAGTTGCAACCTATCAGAAATATCCATAACACCAAGTTCCCTACGGATGTGAAAGAAAAGCTCGGCCGCAAGAGGTTTTATGAAAATATCTGCAAGTTGATTTGTGCTATCAACATGCTCAAATACGACGTCGCCTTTTTCTACATGATCCCTAAGGAAGTGATGTCTAATCTCAATATGTTTGGTGCGTGAATGTAAAACGGGGTTTTTAGTTAGGTTTATGGCACTAGTGTTGTCACAAAATATCAGAATATGATCGAGATTAACATCAAAATCAAGTAATTGTTGTTTGAGTCACAAAATTTGGGCACAACAATTACCGGCTGCGACATATTCCGCCTCGACAGTTGATAAAGCAACGAAAACTTGTTTCTTGCTATGCCAACTTACTAAAGAATTTGAAAAGAAATTACACGTACCACTAGTACTTTTCCTATCCAACTTGCAACCGGCAAAGCCGGAATCGAAAAAACCGACCAAAGAGCAATCACTATCCTTAGAGAACCATAACCCATACTTAGTCGTACCACAAAGATACATACGTATGCGCTTAACGACTTTTAAATGTGACTCCTTGGGATATGATTGATACCTAGCACACATACATACACTAAACATAATGTCGGAATGAGAAGCGGTAAGGTAAAGAAGAGAACCAATCATACCTTTATACCTTTTTACATCAACCGGCTTACCATGTTCGTCACGATCAAGATTAACCGCGGTAGGCATTGAAGTGTCAATTACCTTTGATTTTTCTATATCGAAGCGCTTTAATAGTTCTTGACAATACTTGGTTTGACTCACAAACGTCCCTTCCTCAAGTTGATTAATTTGAAGCCCAAATAAGTACTTTAGTTCACCCATCATACCCATTTCAAATTCTCCATGTATCAACTTAGAAAACTCCTTGACCAAGGATGTATTAGTAGAACCAGATATGATATCACCTGCATAAACTTGTACTAAAATTGAATGTTTTCCTTGGCGTTTAATGAAAAGTGTTGTATCAACGTTTCCTCTTGAGAATCCTTGTTCTAACAAAAACTTGCTAAGACGTTCATACCAAGCCCTAGGAGCTTATTTGAGACCATATAAGGCACATTTTAGTTTGTAAACATGGTTAGGATACTCATAGTTTTCAAATCCGGGAGGTTGAGATACATACACTTCTTCATTAATATAGCCATTTAGAAAAGCACTCTTAACATCCATTTGATATAACTTGAAATTTTGTGCATGCAAAGGCAAGTAAAAGGCGTATAGCCTCGAGTCGGGCAACCGGTGCATAAGTTTCCTCATAGTTAATGCCCTCCTCTTGGTTATACCCTTGAGCAACAAGGCGGGCCTTGTTGCGAGTTATTATTCCGTTTTCCTCCAATTTGTTCCTAAACACTCATTTAGTGTCGATTACACGATGATCTCGCGGAGGAGGTGTAACACCCCAATTCTATCCGGCAATTATGAATGTAAATCAGAGTTTTAAAATTCATTCAACTGAATCAGGATGCCACAAATTCAACTTAAAAACCCATTGCATTCAACATGGATACACAACACTTTAAACTTCGGATGAACCAACAGCAAAATAATTTAATCTCTTAATTCAACAACTTGAACAACTACGCAACGGAATCATAATAACATATTTGTCCAACAATTACAGCAACTTCAAAGTAACACATACTTAGCAACAATCAAATTAAAGTTCAACAACTGAAATAATCAATAATAAAAAACAACAAGCGTTTATCCCTTCGAGTGTTACGTATCAGAGCAATGACATCGACTCGAACTACCGAAGGTATACTGCCTTCACTCTGGATTACCTGCATGTTACCAACGTAAGGGTAACATTCAAACAGAAGGGGTGTGATATCTAACAATATAATAAAACGTATGATAAATAATATATTAGATCAGATCATACAATATCACCACTTCATATCTTATAAACAACAATAATCGCAACAAAATACCAATAATATGCATATTTACCGCATCAATACACAACTTCTTTATGCAATCATATACTGCGATTCAATATTATGCAAATGTATGTGGTACCATTGGAGCAGAACTCCCGTCTCAAATAATTGCCAATAAATAGAGACATCAACAAGGCATAAGCCTTCATCTTAATATTTACCAATACAGACCATCTTAATGAACATCAACTCCATCTTGATATGCAATGCATGCGACACAATCATGAATGTAGTAATAACAACCACAATTAACAACATCTCAACACAACATCATCGTTAGCCATAAAGCCTACATCTTAATAGCTGTCAATTATTAGAGGCATCTCAACGTCATTCATCAACATTATTCATCAACATCATTTATAAACATAATTCATCAAAATAATTTATCAATATAATTCATCAACATAATTTATCAACACAATTCATCAACATCATTCACAACAACTCAGCCATAACAACAATACAACGGCAGATTGACAATCCTTCAACGTTGGCCATAGGCCTACAACATGATATTGCCTATAATTAATTAATCATCTAAGACTTATCTCTAATTATAAAACTTCTACATATTATTATTCTGTAATACCACATCATTATCATCATTAATCTTACTGTCATGAACCGCGCAATAATTTAAGATCGTCTTATCCTTATCATACTTCACGAAATCATCATAGTGATTAACGCGGGAAGCTAACTCTAATCCTAATTTGGGTACTAGAATTATTCTTATTATCCTTCATTTTAATCCTTAAGAATTAATTTCATCGCGTTATCTATCCAACGCTTCGAACGACACCTCAAACGGAGTTCGGAAACTCAAGTTACATCCTTTGGAAGAATCTGTCAAAAATCAGACTACATGAGTCGACGCGTACTGTTTTAGGTCGACGCGTACTGGGTTGAAATTCTGCATGAGTCGACGCGTACTCCTCTTGTGTCAACTCATACTGAGTCTGCAACACCACATGTATCGATGCATAGTCCTATGTATCGACTCATTCTGAGTCCAAAAACCTGCATGTGTTGACGCATGGCCTTTGAGGCCGACTCATACTGTTCTATCATGAATATTTTCTGCAATTTCACTATATTTTCACTGCGATTTCCCTGCCTTAGGCCCTGAAAACATCCCCTAATCATAGGTAATCAACAATTATATTAATCCTATGTTTCTACATCAATTATATAACATTAGGGCATCATTATTCATCTCTAAATCATTAATCCTCATCAACAACAATACACATATTTCAATCATAAACAAAACAACCTTTCACATCTAATTCCATATACTACTCATCATAAACCCTATTATAGAGTCATAACACCGCCCTTACCTTGGATTGAAGGTTGCTCTACAACTTTTCCGATTGAATTCTGCTCTGGCTCTTTTCCTTCTTTTCTGCAACTTTCACGTTCTCTTCCCACCCTTATTTTCTTTCTCTTCTTACTGCTACTTCTTTTCCATATTAATTCTAAATAACAAATATAATAACCCTATAATTCTCATTATGTCTTAATGGGCTTAAAACTCCTACACCCCATTTCTACTACTTTTATTCCTTAAAATAAGTCCACATCAAATAATATTATTATTCTAATATTATTCTACAACTTAATAGAATAATTAAATCCAATAACAACAAC